AAACGCAATCTTATTAGTCGGCCAAGAGGATTGTAGATTGGTAAATTTATCTTGTTAACTGTTAAACCGGCCGTTAGGTTCGATTAACGCACCCGCTACTTTTTAAGATAAAATGGCAGGTAATGCAATTTGAGGGATAATAAAGCAATCCTATTGTTCAGCCAGTTATCCGTCGACTAATAAGATTATAGATTAGTAAATTTATCTTGTATACAGTTATCAATAAGCTGGATAAACCGGTCGTCAGGTGCTCTAAATTTCACTTTGAAATCCAAAGTTGCTGGCTCAATTGCACCTGCTGCTTCTGATCCTAAAGTGACAGATAATGCAATCTGAGGGATAAAAACGCAATCCTATTGGTCAGCCAGTTATCCGTCGACCAATAAAATTATAGATTGTAAGGGCCGGTTTCTCAATAGTAAGTCACTTCCGGGTCAAGTATAACTAAACATTGCAACTAGACACGTTTACCTTGAAATTAAAACCAACCCGAAGGTGACTTGCTATTGAGAAACCGACCCTAAATTTATCTTGTATACTGTTACCAATAAGTTCACCTTGAGATGAATAACTCGGGCCTAGATCATCAAGCTTAATAAAGACAAAATATAAATTTTTGAATTAACAACACGTCAAGTAAACTAAAGGCCGAATTACACGTATTTAGTGGCATCCAAATTCTTGGCTGGCCAGTTAGTTCAGTAAGCTGCATTATCCTACTGGCAAGAATAATAGACAAACTCTCATATTGGATATATATGAATTGGCCTTCGTGGCGAAGATGATGGAGAGCCTGAAAGCATTTTCCTTTCCATCAGGCTCTGTCCCTTTGGCCATGGAGACTGCCATTACCTCGAGCGACGTCCCACGAAGTTCGGCAAATGTGGTTCCCGAAAACTACCCACCTGAAACAGGCACAAATTCAGGACTTCGTGGAACAAATGAGGAAAAAGCCCATATCTTTTGTAACGGTCCGCGATCCTTCGCATATGGGGACCACCGATATCGTCTCCCTGGGGAATGCGGATGTGCCTCCTGCTGGAGCAATCCAAGAAATGGAAGTGGTGGCAGTCGCCGAAGTTGTTCCGGAGGTTGAAGTGGTCAGGGCTTCGAAACCAAGATTTCTAACTCGCTCGCCAAGAATTATTATATCGTCCAGATATGCGAAACAGTAGTTATCTAGTTCCGGTCCTATAATACGGTCCATTAGCCTTTGGAAAGTGGCCGGTGCTGAGTGTAATCCAAAAGGCATAACCCGGAATTGGAACAAGCCCGTTCCTGAAACGGTAAATGCAGTAATCGGTTTACTTTCTTCTGACAGCGATATTTGCCAATCAGTGATGCCGTTTTTAGTACATTTGTACTAGATTTAGTACGTCAGTACACCATCGAAAGGTTTAGTACACTTTAGAGAAAATTACAAATCAGCATGATTTCCATTTAGAGAATAAATGTAAAAAATGTACCTATCTCTATCCCTACATTTTATACGCTTTTACCAAAAGATGCAGAGTGCGAAAACACTGGTATTGTATACAAGGTTCCTAAAGTTAATAGGTTGTCTGGTAATGGGTAATTTCATGACGCATCTGGGGTGCCTTGCCTTAGGGCCGGTATTATGTATTATCAACGGTATTATATACAGCCTGGTTCGACGATTGACATTTCCGTATGATTTTATACCATTGAGGTTTTTTACGGACATTTCAGTTCAACGTTCGGTTGAAAATCAACCTTCGGTCAACCGGACTTTATAATACCGGCCCTTATGGAGATTTGCATTAAAACCGGTCATTGTTGTCGGTGCTGGTGTAGATTTTCCTAGTCGAATAAAGGTAACTAGCCTTTTTTTTTAAATGTCAACTGGTAGTTTCTAGGCCGAATTTATTCAACTCTACCAGCAAATCGTCCTTCTTTAGTTGATATACCCAGCTCACACGGACATCGTTGGGGTCATACCAACCGGGGTGAGTTATCGTCGGGATAGTAACAACTGGGTTAGACGGACTGGTTGTAACTACAATCTGTGCAACGGTATTCGGAGTACTCGTAACTGTCGGGTTTCCAGCGGTATTGTTGCCTCCTGTCATCTTGACTCTGACAACGGACTTCTTTTTCCAGCAATTGAAGGTCCCTGCTCGGGCGCCAATTTTGTAGCGCCCTTTCGGTTTTTCCTTTTCTTGCTTTAACGGTTATCTCGGGCGCCACCCTCAGGATTATTGTGGTTGAGGGCCCACGTGCAGCAGGTAGCTTGTTACAGTGGAGATCAGGGGTCGAATCAGATGCTGGAAGTTATTCCTTCTATACCTCTTGTAAATCCTCCAGAAAACTCCAAAAGAAGACACATGAAATCACGATTAAGTTCTGGTATTTATTGCTATAAATTTATGTCAATAAGGCAATTCCTATGGTAAAATATAACATTCCTTAAGCAGAGTGAATAGAGTGAATGAAGCGGGCGTGCAATGGAGAGACTGAAAATGTGTATGTGTGCGTGCGTGTAGATTGATGATAACGGGCGGTTTATAAGCAAGCGGTGAGCAACAGAAAATAAGAAGCGGTCATGCAATACAAAAGCGGTTAGATCTTAACGGTTTTAACTGGTTCGAATACTGATGTACCCGTTTCACACTTAAGTAAGACATTTCGGATACAGACATGAATTTACTTGGTTGGTCAATACGGTAACCTTAAATCGGTTAGAAACAACCGCAACGGCGGTGGAAATACAGCCCTGTCCGTACACATAAACCGTAACAGTATAAATAATATCTAAGAGAAAACTATTCGTACACATGAACCGTGACAGTTTATAAAACTTTACACTATTACTGTATTCCTTTTACCCGTTGAGTTACTCGGAGCTGCTCAATGTCAGAAGCTTGAACGTTCCTTTTAAAAGTGCGTTAAGCACTCGAGTCGCTCAAAGTGCATCCCCCTTACCCCTGATGTACCAAATTTGCGGAGGGTGCAAGAAGGCCTTTTAGGTAATGACGGTAATGTTAATATCAAAAAATAATGGTAAAATCTGAATTGTGTGTTTTTGACTGACTCCGAGGAGCTCATTTGGTGTAACTCGATGTATAAAAGGAATACAGTAAATGTCGTAACACTAAAACATGAACCAATAGATGAAGAGAAACTGTCCGTACACGTAAACCGTGACAGCTATAGAACTTTAAACTTTGTGAAAATAAATGTCTTAGAGAAAATTGTCCGTACACATAAACCGTGACAATTTATAGAACTTTACTTTGTAAAATAAATATCTTAGAGAAAACTATCCGTACAAATAAACCGTGATAGTCTATAGAATCTTAAACTCTGTGCGTCCAAGTGAACCGTGACAGTAAAAACAAAAATATAATTTACCAACCAAGTATTAATGAAAAATAACTTACTCGCGTAGCGGTGAAACAGGTACCAGTCGGTATTACGAAGAAAAGGCCTACCTCGGTATTCGGTGAAAGTTGGAAGCGTCTACTTAGTTGGTGGACTCGGGCCGGACTCACATTAATTGGGTATATTTTTGGAATTGATTATGTATTTTATATGTTTGTGGGTTTGACATTATTCTGCGCACTGATGAAGGACAAGAGTTTTTCAAAAAAAGTCATTGAGAAGCGTGATCTCTAAACTAATAAATCAAATTTTGTTAAATTCGACAAATGAAAAATTGTATTTTATTCGCGCTCCATTTCTCCTCCTATCAATCGGCTTGCACCGTTGCACTCCGAAGAAATCAATTCAACAAAAGTGGCAACTTAAAAAGAGAAAAGAATTGATTAAACGACCGTAAATAAGACGCAGGGTCCGGGGGATAACAAAACTATTACGTTTCTTTAAAGAAAAAAAAAAAAGCCAGCCAGCTTCACTGGAAAATATAGTGCGCTCCGGGGAAAAATCTGGAAATTTCATTTTTATATTTAGCCCGCTTTGTATTCCGAGACGCATTTCGAAAGCAGACGCAAATAAGAAAACAAACTTTTTTTTTATTTTATCTTTTTTGAAGAAGGAAAAAAAAAGGAATTGGCCTGCGAGAGAGAGAGAGAGAGAGAGGCGAATCCAGACTCTAGACTGTCATCGGTTATGATTTATGTATGTATGTATATGTGGAGCAAAATAAATCTTTTGTGCAAATTAATATGGAACAAATTATAGGAATGGCAAAATTCAATATTATATAAAGAAGACTTTCTATTTTATGTAAATGTAAATTCCATTTTCCGAGCCTCTTTCAGCTTTCAGTCAGTTTCCAAGGCAAGGATGCTGATTTATATAAAAAAATATTCCGTTCCGAAGGCAAAATCGTTTCCGAAGCAACAACACCTTTAACGTCTGGAAAATTAAGTTTTAAGATTCACGTGATTCGAGATCGTTAAGGCGGGTACATCGGAGCGTTGCGCCTTTAAGTGCGCCTTAAAATTAAGTGCAAGACGGGCGTATGTTGCGAGTTTACAGATCATAAAGTTTCAACAATTACCTACCTTATATGTAGTAAAAATAGGGCTCAATTCCAATGGATTTATGTAGTGTAATATCATTGATCCATTTTATTTGTGGCCTCTTAATCTGGTAGTGCTTTCCCTCTTGCCTTTTCATAGTCCCAGAAAGCGAGACAGAGCAAAAGAAATCATAATTAATAAATATAATTTTACAAAAAATTTCAAACGAAAATATATGAACCAAAACAGCATCTACCATAATCAGAAGTCAATTACTATAATTTGAATGAAAATTCAAGAAAATTATCCCCGTATATTTCACCAGCAAGCAGTCATAATAAACTTTAAGTTTGCCAGCGCATATACGAGGCCCGGGGTGCCGCAACGTCCATAATTCTTCCGCTCGGGAATATGCAACTTTCGCGATGTGTTTTCGTTAATTGTTTCGGACGTTATTTATTTTACCATGAGGAATTCGCGGCCGGGCCACTACCGCAGACTAAATACGAATATGCATAGTTTATTTATTATTATATTATGATAACTAACATGTTTAATTCAGTCTTCTTTGTATTTGCTACCGTAGAAAGGCAAGTATTGGAGCACGTCCTTCCACTCACATATGTAGATTGTGGCCAGGAAAGTAGCTACGCTGTAGCTAATGAAGCTGTTCTTGTACAGTTTCAAAACTTTGACGTGTCTCTCTCCGAATGGTCTCAATGGATGACCTGAAATTTTATAGTAAATGAGCTGATATATCAGACACTTGAAACATCATTATATTAAATGTAACATTGGTATTTCAAGAATTGCGTGTAGATGTTCCAGATTGGGTGAGTTGTTGAACAATTTGTTTAGAAAATTATTTCCTTTAATCAGTGAGCAAAATTGTCGTCTCTTCTGAAGCTTTTGGTGGTAGCTCCTCTTTTCTGAAGCAGCTGGAAATGAGAAGCTCTCCAAGTACCAAGCTTCAGAAATTAATTGCCAAACTAATGAATGAAGGTGTTTCAAGGAAAATTTGCTTCCAATTGATACCTCGAGGACCAAAGGTCCAGAAGAGGCTGTTGAAATGAGAGTCACCTGGAAAATAGACTCAGGTTTAGACATGGACAAGATGCTGGATAAGCATCAACGAAGAAATCATATCTATCTGAATTTATTCCAGAAAAACTCTTAAAACTGAATAAATACTGACCAAAAATTCCTGTTATTACGTTATCGGTAATACCAGCACCGGCTCCACTTTTCCCTCCAGGTTTGCAACACGACGTGATACTCGATTCCTGGTGAATTTTGCCCGGTTTTTTGACGAAACCATCGCGCAATTTCAGGGCGGACTTCGATGTGTGGCCTTTCTGATTGTCGCACATGACTACTGAATGAGTGATAGTTTTGTGAAACGAATAATTTTTTTGACAGTTTTGTCTGAAAGATGGCATTGACTCTGACAGTTCATTGTCAAGAGAAATACCATGTTAAGCCGGGTTCAGACTACTCGTACTTGCGTACTTGTAAACTTTACACTGGAGCCACAATTAATACAAGACAATTTTTCTTTTTGAATATTATTGGAATATTATTATTAGTTTCTTCTAAGGTTTTCTTTGTATTGAGCAGCATCGAGTGAATTGCGTGCACCTTAGGGTGTTGCTTTGGTAGCTGATGACTCGAATGGGTTTTATAGTACTTTACGGGCAGTACTCAGGACTACTGCTTTTTGCATTTGCTTTGAAATTTCTCAAAAAAAAAAATTTTAGCAATGTTTTACCCTTAGAATTTGGTTTTTCAAATTTTCAATCCTCAATATTTCTATAACCGTAAACTATATTGAGCAATTTTTTTTTCTATCTTGTAGATCTCATCAAAAGCCACAAAAAATGCTCTATGATCAATCTTGCTACGATAGTTAGTTTCGGAGCTACACAGCCTTCAAGTTTTATACAAAATCTTAACTAAGCTTCAACTTTGAAGTCTTATATCTTCGAAACAACAGAAGCTATTTGATTCAATCTAGTGCCATTTTGTAGAGAATTCACTCGTCTTTCCAACTGTACATAGTTTTATCTGATTCAAATTAGAATTATTGAATTTATAAGTGATTATTCAACATCGTGTCAGTATTTGGAAAAGTTTTCAAGACCAAAAATGAGCTTATTTTGCTCAAAAGAAAATACCCGTATTATGATAATTTAGAGGTGCTATTTTTGACTAATTTTGGGCTCCTCTTTTTAATAATGAAGTCAGAATTTGCGAAAAAAAAATTAAATAAAAGAATGCCTTACATTTAATGCCTATTTTTGGTATTACATGGGACTTAAATAGACAGTTTCCTTCATAAAGGATCATAAGTAGGTGTGCGACCTTGAGCCTACCTTGACGCCCTTGACCTTGAGTTGTTCCCGAAATTTCAGATCAAAGGCGCCGTCGATCTAGAGATTTTCCCACGGTATTGAAAAAGTTCCCAGGCTCAGGTGCCCCCGTAGACGTGTGCTTCCTTGAGTCGACCTTGACGCCCTTGACCTTGAGTTGCTCAAGGTCAGTTGTGCGACCCATAAGTTGGTATGTGAACTTAATAAAGTGTTTTTAATTTTTTTTTATCAATAACGCATTTAATTGAAGCCCAATTGATTAATTTTACCTATAAAAAGTGAAATTTCCGAAAAAAAAAAATTTAGCAATGTTTTTCCTAAGGGGTTACACTTAGGATTTGGTTTTTCAAATTTTCAAACCTCAATATTTCTATAACCGTACAAGATATTGAGCTTATTATTTTTCTATCTTGTAGATCTCATCAAAAGTCACAAAAAATGTTCTATGATCAATCTTGCTACGATGTTTAGTTTCGGAGCTACACAGCCTTCAAATTTTATACCAAATCTTAACTAAGTTTCAACTTTGAAGTCTTATATCTTCAAAACAACAGAAGCTATTTGATTCAATCTAGTGTCATTTTGTAGAGAATTCAATCGTCTTTCCAACTGTATATAGTTTCATCTGATTCAATTTAGAATTATTAAAGTTATAAGTGATTATTCAACATCGTGTCAGTATTTGGAAAAGTTTTCAAGACCAAAAAATGAGCTTATTTTGCTCAAAAGAAAATACCCGTATTATGATGATTTAGAGGTGTTATTTTTGACTAATTTTGGGCTCCTCTTTTTAATAATGAAGTCAGAATTTGCGAATAAAATTAAATAAAAGAATGCCTTACATTTAATGCCTATTTTTGGCATTACATGGGACTTAAATAGGCAGTTTCCTTAATAAAGTGTTTTTAATTTTATTTTTATCAATAACGCATTTAATTGAAGCCCAATTGATTTATTTTACCTATAAAAAGTGAAATTTCCCAAAAAAAAAATTTAGCAATATTTTTCCTAAGGGGTTACACTTAGGATTTGGTTTTTCAAATTTTCAAACCTCAATATTTCTATAACCGTATAAGATATTGGGCTAATTCTTTTTCTATCTTGTAGATCTTGTCAAAAGCCACAAAAAATGTTCTATGGTCAATCTTGTTACGGTACTTAGTTTCGGAGCTACACAGCCTTCAAGTTTTATACCAAATCTTAACTAAGTTTCAAATTTGAAGTCTTATATCTCCAAAACAACAGAAGATATTTGATTCAATCTAGTGCCATTTTGTAGAGAATTCACTCGTCTTTCCAACTGTATATGGTTTCATCTGATTCAAATTAGAATTATTGAAGTTATAAGTGATTATTCAACATCGTGTCAGTATTTGGAAAAGTTTTCAGGACCAAAAATGAGCTTATTTTGCTCAAAAGAAAATACCCGTATTATGATAATTTAGAGGTGTTATTTTTGACTAATTTTGGGCTCCTCTTTTTAATAATGAAGTCAGAATTTGCGAATAAAATTAAATAAAAGAATGCCTTACATTTAATGCCTATTTTTGGCATTACATGGGACTTAAATAGGCAGTTTCCTTAATAAAGTGTTTTTAATTTTATTTTTATCAATAACGCATTTAATTGAAGCCCAATTGATTTATTTTACCTATAAAAAGTGAAATTTCCCAAAAAAAAAATTTAGCAATGTTTTTCCTAAGGGGTTACACTTAGGATTTGGTTTTTCAAATTTTCAAACCTCAATATTTCTATAACCGTACAAGATATTGAGCTTATTATTTTTCTATCTTGTAGATCTCATCAAAAGTCACAAAAAATGTTCTATGATCAATCTTGCTACGATGTTTAGTTTCGGAGCTACACAGCCTTCAAATTTTATACCAAATCTTAACTAAGTTTCAACTTTGAAGTCTTATATCTTCAAAACAACAGAAGCTATTTGATTCAATCTAGTGTCATTTTGTAGAGAATTCAATCGTCTTTCCAACTGTATATAGTTTCATCTGATTCAATTTAGAATTATTAAAGTTATAAGTGATTATTCAACATCGTGTCAGTATTTGGAAAAGTTTTCAAGACCAAAAAATGAGCTTATTTTGCTCAAAAGAAAATACCCGTATTATGATGATTTAGAGGTGTTATTTTTGACTAATTTTGGGCTCCTCTTTTTAATAATGAAGTCAGAATTTGCGAATAAAATTAAATAAAAGAATGCCTTACATTTAATGCCTATTTTTGGCATTACATGGGACTTAAATAGGCAGTTTCCTTAATAAAGTGTTTTTAATTTTATTTTTATCAATAACGCATTTAATTGAAGCCCAATTGATTTATTTTACCTATAAAAAGTGAAATTTCCCAAAAAAAAAATTTAGCAATATTTTTCCTAAGGGGTTACACTTAGGATTTGGTTTTTCAAATTTTCAAACCTCAATATTTCTATAACCGTATAAGATATTGGGCTAATTCTTTTTCTATCTTGTAGATCTTGTCAAAAGCCACAAAAAATGTTCTATGGTCAATCTTGTTACGGTACTTAGTTTCGGAGCTACACAGCCTTCAAGTTTTATACCAAATCTTAACTAAGTTTCAAATTTGAAGTCTTATATCTCCAAAACAACAGAAGATATTTGATTCAATCTAGTGCCATTTTGTAGAGAATTCACTCGTCTTTCCAACTGTATATGGTTTCATCTGATTCAAATTAGAATTATTGAAGTTATAAGTGATTATTCAACATCGTGTCAGTATTTGGAAAAGTTTTCAGGACCAAAAATGAGCTTATTTTGCTCAAAAGAAAATACCCGTATTATGATAATTTAGAGGTGTTATTTTTGACTAATTTTGGGCTCCTCTTTTTAATAATGAAGTCAGAATTTGCGAATAAAATTAAATAAAAGAATGCCTTACATTTAATGCCTATTTTTGGCATTACATGGGACTTAAATAGGCAGTTTCCTTAATAAAGTGTTTTTAATTTTATTTTTATCAATAACGCATTCAATTGAAGCCCAATTGATCAATTTTACCCATGAAAGTTAAAATTTAACAAAAAAAAATTTTAGCAATCTTTTTCCAAAAGGGGGTTACCCTTGGGATTTGATTTTACAAATATTCAAACCTCAATATTTCTATAACCGTAAAATATATTGAGCTAATTCTTTTTCTATCTTGTAGATCTCATCCAAAGCCACAAAAAATGCTCCATGATCAATCTTGCTCCGATGCTTAGTTTTGAAGCTACACGGCCTTCAAGTGTTATGCCAAATCCTAACTAAATTTTAACTTTGAAATCTCATATCTCTTAAAACAACTAAAGCTAATCGATTGAATCTAGTGCCATTTTATAGAAAATATAATCCTCTTTCCAACTGTATATAGTTATACTATATGCCATATAATATGGCTGGAAAAGGAAGGAAGCCCACAAAAGTTACGATCTATCTGCTTGAGGCTGAAACCTGACCAATCGAGATTAGTATATGTACAGGGTGACATTTGAAAACGAACAGCATTCAGCATTGAATATTGTCTCTACCAATGATGGTATGAAATATTGACGAAACACGTTAATTTACATCTCAAGAGGGACAATTTTTGAGGCATTTGTTGACATGTTATTTTCAAACCCCTGATCACCAGGACACCAACCCTTAATTCTGTATTTCTTATGTAATTCCAGAAAGATTGCATCATATTTTTTCTAGCAAAATTGACAATTAAACAGAATAAACCTTAGTCCTGGTTATACCATGGTAAACTTTTCCAGTTGAAATTAAAATAAAATTCAATCGCTTTCCGCAATATGAGGACTTTTATTTATTAGTTTTTAATAATAATTATTAAAACGGACTTCCATCACCAACACGAAGCTGGAAGGGAAATTTCAAACTCGGTAGTTAGTTTGAAAAGCTTTTATCGGAACATGTATTGGATTTATTAAACTAATAATTAAATTTTATTAAACGCATATGAATTTTCATATTAATAAAAAATCAAAATAAATATTAATTTTAGCTTTGTGAAGATTAATACCCTTTTGG